CAGGACAGGTGGATACAAGTGGAGCCTCACTGCACTTCTCTGCCCATCTGGTCTAACCTGGGCATGGAAGAGAGTGGCTTTGGGAGGAAAGGATAGTTATATCTGTGTCTTTCCAATCCTTTCCTGTCCCAGTGATCTTGCCAAGATGTCAGTTTTATGTGAACGGGGCCATGAAAACACCGAAACAACTTTGCATGAGCCACGATCAGATCATAAGAGTTGGTCTTCACTGCTGCTGACCTGAGTTGAGTTTGAACCATCAACGTAGAAGTGAAAGGATGAAATGTTCATCCCACTACCAACCTCCCAAACTCTCTGGTCCCCTTCATACTGGGTTTTTCAGTTTTACGCATCACTCTGTTGTTGCTGGCCCTCCTCCGTCAGTAAGGTAGCTGAACAGATTTGTCCAGAAATGAGTGAACATGAGCTGTTTCTCTAAGGTTGGAGAATCTTAGAATTCCTCTTATTTGCTCCACAAGTAGATTGGCGTCCTAGATCTGTCTTCTGGATTCCTTACTAGGCTCTAAATTAGTCCAAGCCCCCTGATTCCTTGGAGAAACTCATTATTTTGCACTGATGAAAAATAAGTTAAAGATGTAAGATCTGCATCTTACTCAGACATACTCACTCCAATTACATTAATCTAGTGCTCCAGTAAATCTGCTAAATAAACAATATGTTGTTGGTACCTCCTATAGTGAATCTTACTAGTTTTAAGACGCCATGAAGAAAACATTAAGACTGGAAAGAATGTGTTAAAGGGAGCAGTAAATCTTATTTAAGTGAACATATTTATCAGCTCAACTTATTAATATGTAAAGAAACTACACATGCTACTTCGAATGCATTCATGTTATTTTTTGCTATCATTGCTGGAGGGGTATGAGGCTGATTGGCAGATGTTTCTTAAACATCTGCCTTGAGATTAAATGCAGCTTTCCATGAATCATCTAAACCTATAGTCCTCTTTCTGCCTTCAGGCCCAAACTGCTCTTCTTAACCAATGCTTTAATTAGAATATGGCCCTGGGAGCTTTTCTTTTGGCCAGGCATGAGTCTCTTCATTTTCACAAATTGTGGTAAAATGGTTATTTACTGACTGTAAGCACTGCAAGACTTTCAAGTAGGAATGATCTATTAAAAACCACCCTTTTCCATTATTCAAAATCTTTTTTTCGTTGTTTTTTTTTAAAAGAGAGTTATCCTTCATTGCCTTCCAGCATTGGAAATGTTAAGAAATGGGGGGAGACAGAATTCCCATTGTATATTGTTCAGTTTTTATAGGGTGGCAAACCTATGGGTTCACCTACATTATTGCAGGGGGTAGCCCACAAAACGATGCAAGTGAGAGTAAGCTTAGAAGGTGATGGAGGGATCATTGTGAGGTTGATAAACTTGTTCTTTCTGCATAAAGAGACTTTTAGTTTTTCCAAAACAATAACCATTTTTTTGAGATTGAAATCTTAGAGGGTGACTTGATTCTTTTAGATACTTGTAATATGTCATTTTTTAATGATAAGCATAAATCAGCTGAGGATGCGATTGTGCTGTACCAAGCTTGGAAATTATGCTCAAGCAATTTTGGAAGAAACCAAAGGAAAATCTATTACATTTTAATCTTTCTTTTTCTGGTCTGGCAGTTGAATGCTAAGTGGGAACTATTAGTTGTAGACTGAAACCCTCTTCTAAATGGAAAGGAGGAGAGCAAAGTGTGTATTTGGCTTTCATTATTTTTATTAATTTATTATTATGTGCATTTCCATGGTAATCATCATACTAAAGGAAAAGAAAAAAAATTCCCAGGTTCACAGAGCCAGTATTGTACCCATCCCTTAACGGCAGGACTTCAGAAGGAAAGAGATAGGAAGAACACTGAGAGTAAACTAGGTAAAAAAGAGAAAGCAAGACTAAAATTCAGGTCGTTGAGGAGGTAGTGCCTGCTTTTTGGATTTTTTAGCAACAAGCCTTTGCATAGATTATTGCTGCAGGGAGAAGGGATAATGTGTGTGCCTGGGATGTGTGCTCTGTGCGGGCCGGAGGGAGTCTGTCTGTCTTATTTTAGTTCACTTTATCTAATCTGTCTGCTACTGTGTAATCTTTATCACTGTGGTATCTAGATGCATGCAAAACTGAGTAAAATAAACATTCACTCAGGAAGACTGTAATCCTGTATTCCCCAGCAACATTAACAAGTTTTTCCTTCTGTCATCCCAAGGGTTGTTATTGGGGGCGAAATAAAAACGGTATTTAATGGATTTTACATTTTGTTTTGAAAGGCTGAGAGGTCTCATAGGCGATGGGAAAGGATTTTGCCAGTATTAACTAGGCACAAGAGATGTGCCTTTGTTCGTTTGCACCCTGCAATGCTGTGGTCACCCAAGAGGACAAGGTAATCCTTGAGGTCACGATGCCTCATCCCTTGAGGGCCCTGAAGAAGAGACATTAAGGCTTTCGATACTTGTGCGTGAAAGCACTGGTAGCACAGAAGCAAGGTCATAAAAGGAGGTGGACCCACAACCTGCCTCCACATTCTTGCCTTGGGAAGCGTACAAAATGGGGAGAGAATTGTGGGTAAAGATTTTGAGGGATGATATCTTTCATTGGACCAGATGTGTGGTTGGAGTAAAGTTAGACAAGGTTTGAATTGAAGGTATTCTTCTTGCCTTTTGTGTGATTCCTGGAACATCACAGCTACAACATCACTCCAGCAATACTGGAGTAGTGGGTCATGTCTCGGTGGATGCTGCAGCACCTCCCCACTGCGCCAGCTAGACTTTGATTTCTAATGTTCAAAAGTACTCTCCAAAAGTAGTTCAGTGAGACTCAAGTGTGAGAAGAGAGTACATTTTGTCAAGCCTCCCAAGAATTTTTAGCTCAGATAAGATATTCCTAAAATACCAGTGGCATACTCCAGTGATGTGATCTGTTAAAAAAGTTTTGCAGATGCAGTAGGTTACTTCTGTACTTCCGAATGCTGAGACCTTCGGCACCGAGCATGTCTTGGCGTTTTCACTTCTTTTCCATTCTAAAATCTAAAAATTTCTGAAAGAAGAATTGTTTGTACAGACTGTTTGGCAAGTGCGGATTTAAATTTTAGTAATAATTATGTAAAATATGTATTCATTACCTGTTCTAAAGTGTCCTGGCTTTGTATGCGTTCCCCCGCCTCCCTTTCTTTGCTAAATAGCTTCAAGGCAAGGATTTTTGGGGTGATACCTTTTATTGGACCAACTGTGTGATTGGAATAAAGTTAGATAGGCTTTCAAGTATGAATCATCAAATACGATTGTTCGTCAGGTCTGCGGAGGGAAGCGTGCACAGTAATGATTCAGAACAGCGGGTAGAGCTGTGAAATAGGTTAATAACTTATAACTTTTCTGTCTGAGGAGAAGAGCGTTACAGCCTTCATTTTAAGATAAGGTTAAAAAAAGCCAAAAACCACTCTGAGGAACCTAACAAATAACCCATTCCAGTTTTCTAATCACTTACTTTAATAACTGTACAGCCCTGTAATGTAAGCAATACACTCCAATTTCTTGAAGCATTTAAACCTGTCTCACTGTCAAGACAAAAACCATTTTCTCACTCTTCGTTCTGCAGTACTTTGAGACATCAGGCAATATTAGCTGACCAAATATGGTTCTTGTTTTTTAATGCTGTCTCCCAAAATTATTTTAAAAGAACGTTTTTATCCATTTGATGTTTAAAGTTGGGATTGTGTAGGGTTGCTCCTCCTCAAACATTTAATTGAACTTTCAGCGTGGCTTGATTTAGCTTAAGCCACGCTCAAAGTCAAATATTTCCATGCTCTTGTGCCTAAAGAAAGATCATTGTCAAGCTGCTTGTTTCACGAGTGTTTAGTGTCTGAAATAACAATCAATTCCATTGGAAGTGAAGTTTGTTATTTTTAGTTTAGCCATCTTCTATTACCTGTTTTTGAGCAGTGAGAGAGGATGTCAGGAAGCCCAATGGAATTGGGAAGAAAAGTTCATTTTCAGGACAGATTGTTTGTTTAGTTTTTCAATACAATTCCTTTATTTTTAAGGTCAGTAGCAGGTAAGAATTACAGAACTGAACTGGTGGTCCAGAGATCCTGTGAACATCCAAACAAAGGCTTTATTCTTGAACAAGGACCATTTGCCAAGGATTTCTCGCAGAGCTCCTGGTTTAATGCTGCCTGATAGAAAGTCTTCAGTCTTTCCACTCCCTCTTACCACTTGTTGTATTGGTATGGCCCGTGAACTTATTTTACATTTGATGTAAAAAAAAAAATTATCATGGAAGTAGAAAAAGCAGTCAAATTTAAACGAAGTGGGCTATTATCACCACATGGTTTACCGGGCTCGAAGCTTTAGTTGTTCTTACTAGTATGACCTACTGATTTGAAAACAAGACTGGCATTCAAGCAACCTGGATTATGTTCTTGATCTTATTTCTGACTGTCTGTGTGGCACAGGCAAGTTACTTTTCCCCTCAATGGATTTTGGTTTTCTCATGTATGAAACGCAGGTGGTAATGTATCCACTTTTATGAAGCACTTGGAATATATTGGATAAAAATCTGTAGTCCCAATTGAAAGACGATGGGAAGATTCCCATTGACTTTGGCATTTTCTGCACTAGGATCCTTCCACGTGAAGGATTTATCAGTATTACTGCATGTCACAAGTAGAAAGTTTGTTGAGATGTTTCCTAGTTGTGATGTGCAGTTATACAGAAATATATATAATATAGCTACTTCCTAATGCCTTACAGGTCTGCATGAAGGCAGATAAATGGTACAGGTTTTATAATCTATCCACAATGAACGTAGAATATTTAGAGAGATTCATTCCCAATAGTTGGAATGAATACATTATTCCCACTATTGCCAATGTATAATGAAATGGCTGGTGGTGTGATATTCTCCATCCAGTGGATTTAGAGAAATTCGCTGATTATTTGCATTATCTTATGAATACAATGTGGGTAGTTAAGAGAGTACTTTTGTTCTCTTTGGTAGGTCTTCTCATCATGTGATAGAGCGGTTTGGAGTCCTACAGAGAGGGATCAAGTACACTGGGCTGTGACTGAATTGGCTCTGTCCACTCTTTGACTCAACAAATTTAAAATAATATACTGCAGTATTGTGGCAGCAGTTCTAAATGCGTTATTGCCAAATCCTGTTTCAAAAAGAAAGGGTCAGAATGGGGATTTTCTATCTCGTTTTGTCATCCGGTTGTGTTTTTAATTGCCACAGCACTTCAAATAGGAGTAGCAAAATACTTTATTTAGAACATAATCTCTAATTCCTGAAGACACTGAGATCTTGCTCCTCATTGTTTGTTTAAAGCTGCATCATCTGGTTTAATTTAGGGTTTGGATTTTCCTCCTTGATTTTCACCTTCATCCACCCATGGGAAAAAAGTAGTGTTGGGACTTTCTTGTATTCATCAGTTGATCTTAGCAGCATTGTTTATGTGATTACAAAATAAAGGCTACTGGATTATTACCAAGAAGGACGTGATTTGAATTGTAAGCTTCCGAGCTTTTTCCTTAAATTGATCAGGAATTTGAAACAGACAAACTAGAAATGTTCCTGTATTTAATAGAACCGTAAGAATTTGACATAACTTTTGGGGAAATCACTGTATGCTCTTGTTTCACCTTGTCTGTCAGTGATGGAAACAGCCACCTTTAATTTCCCAGTTTTGCACCAATGGGAGCTGTTACAGGAAAAGGGATTTCTCTGTTATGAACACTTATTCCACAATGACAAATTTCTCATTCTTGATGTGCTAAGACACTCGCCTAATTTTTTATATTTTTTTCAATGTCTGCTCACTCCACTTTTGGAAAGAGGACATCGAAAAAGAAATAAGTCCCAAGAGAGATGAACGAGGGTCTGGGTATGTCTGGACTGAATAGTAGAAGGCAGTGTAATGGTACCCTGCTTTGAAGGATAAAAGCCACACTGAGAAGTGGTGTATTTAGAGGTATGTTATAACACATATACATGTACATTCACATAGCTATTTCACTTTGTGTTTGTAGAGAAACCATGGCAATGTAGGTGTCAGCCATCAACATGGATATGCAGGGTCCTTTCCAGGCTGGTACAGCCCATGCTGCCAAGTAATTACAGCTATTACTCAAGCTAACTAGAGTAAAGTGACTCAGTAAGTCTCCTTGTGCAGGGATTGCACTCTCAGATGCACTCTAGATGTAGCCTGAATTATGAATCAAAGCTTCCCCTGAGGAAAAAGTCTGATACAAATAGTTCATCATATTACATAGTCTCAGTAAAACCAATACAGAAGACTATATTAAATATCAATAGGTATTTCATGTGGAAATTAATATGGGTTACTGGCAGGAAGGTGTTTAAAGTACAAAGTTGTGGTATTGCCAAGAATCATGTAAGTTAATTGTAAAATAATATACAAGGTTTACTATTTCTACTCCATATTACACGCCATGAAAATGAGGATTGCCAAAGGTTGCTGGAAGAAGTGCAGTTATGAAGAGACTCTAGCACATACAACTTGGTACTAAAAAACTATAAGCTTTTTTGATGTAACATAATTTCAATTACATAGTCATAATGTAAAAGGGATGTTGAATCCAGTCACACACCATTATTCTGGGGTTTGGCAGCCAAAATGCAACTGATGTAAGAAGACGTAAGTTGTCAAGTATTATTCTTCCTGGCTAATATGTACTCAGTAATGCAGAGGAGGAGGTGCCTGCTCTACACACAGACATATATGTATCTTAGTTATAAAAATATGTCAGTGAAAAGAAATGGAGAATGTAATACAGCCCTGTACAAACAAAATCAATCAGTCTCATGCAATTTGGCCTTCTTTTCTTGACTGTCCCTAGGAAAACCCAAGAGCCATATGAGATCCTGGCAGCACTTACCATAGTCGCTTAGAAAAGTAACTTCCTTTGTCTCCCAAGCTCCCCAGAGAACTTCTGGTGTACGTCCACGGCCTTTCCCCTGGACATCAGCTGACAAACTATTTTTATATAGAAAATCTTGCTAAGTTCATTATTTGTTCTTTGTTCTCTGATTTCTTATGTTTTCTTTTCTCTTTTTAATAAAAATCTTATGATGGCTATGATTTGGAAAGCTGACTTTAGAAGTTTTGCATATGAAAACTAAAATGGGCGACTCTAAATTCAGGATGGGTTTAAAGGAAAGGATGTATTGGTTCAATATGACATGGTGTTCTGGTATCACGTTCCTTCCTCACTTCACTAACACAATACATTAATTGTAAAAAGAGCTGAATCATAAAAATACACAAATGAACTGTTTAATGGATCAGTTGGTCCAACTGTGTGAAGCCAAGAAGGAGCCTGTTACCTGGATTAGTCAATATGCAGAACTGTAATAGATAAATGAGCACAAATGTTCTGTAGAAATAATGATTGAATTGACACCTTTCTTATATGATAGGAGCACAACTGTCAGAACAATATGTTGTCACAAGATTAATGTCTTTGGCCGCTTGAGCAAATGTCTTGGCTTTGTCTCCTTATTTATATAGCAGCAAGAGACCGTTCTTTTGTGGGAATGTTCTGTTCTGTTGACATTATTGCATAATTAGCTGAAGCAACTCAAAGACTTTACAATAACTACTTGCAGACTTAGGAACCCACGATCAGCTGTTTCTGCTCGCACCCAGGAAGTTACCGCATTCATTAGTAGGCCAATAGCCATTATATGTTCGTGAAAACTGTATATGTTGATGTAAAATGCTTCCCAAAGTACCTTTCCACAATGGTTTAAAATAAAAGCTACAAATCTTTACGGTAGCACAGGAGCAGCATTTCCGTGTTTCTTGGTGTAGGGTTGCCAACTCTGACTGAAGCTATTCTGGGAGATTTTTTTCCCCCAACATGACATAATGTACTGTTCAACCTGTTCACAATGCAGGCAGTCCTCAGACTTACAACACAATTGGTTCCTGAGGTCGAAATGTTGTAACTCTGAACTGATTTTCCCGTAGAAAACAATTGTATAAATGGGGGATTGGTTCCTGAACCAAGACCCAATACCCCATTTTCACCAAAAATAACCCAGTATTTTGTAGGCAATCACTTATAGATGAGTAGTATAGCTACATTAATGTATTTCTATTGTAAATAGCAATCATATTGATGTGGAAGGACTCCTTTCAGGTGACTTAGCTGGACTTTTTGAAGGGTTCTTGACTGGAGCCTTCTCAGGAGTCTTGGCTGCAGGTTTTTCTGGAGTCTTGTCTGCCTTCTTAAAGAAAGTGTCCAAGGAAGTTTGGACAGATGGGAGATGGGCGACGCAGCGAACTGGTTCACTGGCATGGCATCAGATCAAGCGTTGCAAAGTCGAAACTGATGTCAGAAGTTGAAACGGTGCCAATTTATAGATGTTGTAAGTGCAAAATGTTGTAACTTGAAACGTTGTAAGTTGAGGACTGCCTGTATCAATCTCCCGGATTGCTTCAGGAGTCACCGGGAGATCAAAGCCAATTCTGGTAGACTCCTGGCCAACCTGGGAGGGTTGGCAACCCTATCCTGATGGCACAGTGAGATAAGAAAAACTTGTCACCCAACAAAGGCCTTTTTCCCATCCCACGTTCCTAAACCTGAAGATACATGTATGACATGAAGCCAAAGGTTTTTACACAAACATAGGATCAAGCAGAAAAAGGCCTAGCCCTGGGGCCCACTGTCTAGTCCTCTGGTCATTAATTCTGGGGTTCTGCTTTGGGTTTCCTTCAAAAATCTAGTTGGGCCTATGGTGTTCTTCCCTATACGCTTGTGAGAGCACTTCCTTGTTTCAAGTAAGGCCTCCAGCACCCTTCACCAAGGCCCCATTGCGCTTAACAGACAGATACTCATTGACTTCAGAGAGTTGGGTTTAGGCACACTTTTTTCACCTATGCTTCACATGCTTGTAAATGTGAAGGTCTCATTCCTCTCCTCAGAACACTTGTAGAAGCTAACAGGTCCACTTGTCCCAAGGAAAAGACCCTCAGTCATTAGGTTTAAGAAATATCTTGTGCTAATTGCCCTTACCTCTATCAAGAACTGCCTCATTCTTCTGTACTAACTCGGCGTTTTATTGTAACGTAACAAATGAAACGTGGAGTATTGAGCAGAGTCCCTAGGGATGCTTTTGTTCCATTGCTGATGCATTGGAAATGCAACTGGTTTGTGGGATTGTAAGAGAGTTAAATATTTCCAGGTATGCTCCCTGCTAATCTTTTCAATAAGAAACTGAGAGCATCCAGACTTCTTAAACCAAAACACAACGAAGTGCATCCAGCATAAGAGCCCTTCAGCATGAATACCCTCTGCTTTTGGAAACTCTTGCAAGTTCACTTTAACTCTTACCGATGCATAGGTTGTTTTTTTGGGGGGGAAGGTTTCCATCTGATGTCTGTTTGGAGTTGCAGGTGTTTTACAGTGCTGTTGTGATTTTTGGTTGTTTACAAAACGGTTTGTTGGTTGCCTTGCAGGTGTTGCAAGGTGCGCAGTTGATAGCGGTTGCTTCGGCTGATCCTGCTTCTGGGGGTGTCGATGGATCTCCGCTCCAAGGAAGTGATATCCAGGTCCAATATGTCCAGCTGGCACCAGTGACAGATCACACTGCTACTACTCAAGTATGTATTCTCCCCACTCTGCCCCCAGTTGCAAGTACTTGAAGTGATACGAATTTCTATTGAAGAAATTGTGCTTCTGACCACAAATACTTCATTCCTGTCAGGCTTTTCCTGCTTCTCCAATAAGTGCTTCTATTTTGTTAATAGTATAAATAGCCTTTCATTAGTTTTGGATTCATTTCTATCTGGAAGTCCTTGTTTTATGCCCTAGAAAATAGAGGGTTTTTTGTCATGGACATTTTCCTTGATCCTTAAAGGCTGAGCCACCAGGATGATGGGACAGGGAGAAGAAGCTTGCCTGGAGTTATGACAAGAGGAGGTTGAGGTTCTCCAGTCCAGGCTCCTTGAAGAATGCCATTACCTTCCTCACCATAGTTTTCCAATCATTTTGATCTCCTCCCTAGATTCCCCACGTGAGCTTCAGAGTTAGTTGTGAAGGGGACACTTGAGGCACTCTCTTATGATGGCACTTAGGGCACTTCTATATCAGGATGAATATTCATGTCGTTGAAGGAATTTGCATATCACTGAGGATGTAGAAAAGTCACCTTAAGAAGCATAAAGTCACTCAAGCTCTGCAATGGTCTCAAGCTGCTTGAATGTAGCCTGGCTGTCACAGAGCAAGAATACATGCCCAATGACATGTTCTCTCCTTGAAGTGGCAACAGATGACAGCCAAATGGCACATTTTCAAATGACCATTTTTGAAGGCTTTCCTCTCCTCCCCTCCCTCCCAGCATGGGCTATAGCCTGCTTTTGTAGGCATAATCGCTCAGGTGTGTCTGGTAGCAGTGCAAAATAAGCTTCTATTTGCTGCCTGTATATTGTATATCATGTTAGCATATCTGTGCTACTGGTGAGACTTTGAGTTGGACTTTTGTCACTTTTTCCATTGCAACCCCCTATTACCTGGAGATTTGTAAACTGGATGCAGACATTGGCTTTGGTTAGAAAACCATTATATCAGGTCTGTGCAGAAAATGTTGCATTTTGCAAGTTCCGGTGTCATCCAGTGTTGTTCTCATACAGTAGGTTACCACCATGAGAAACCATTTTTACATTGTTATGACCCCAAAATAGCTTCAATTTACAAAGCATAGGTTTGGTTCTTTGAAAGCCTCCCAAAACACACCAAGGAGAGCTCTATAAATAGTAGTTTGTTTGGTTTTTTGGGAGCTCCAAAAAATTGGGGGAAAAAACTCTGGTTTCAGATTCAGTCAAAATGAAACATTTTATTTTTTACAAGTTGAGATGAAACTTTTTAAAAACTATTTTTGCCTTGCCGTTGTTGAGCCTTTTTGCTTATTTTAAAAAATAAATTTGAAGGGCAAATTGGAAAACATGTTTCATTTGAAAATATTTCAAAATGAGACTTTTAATATTTTTTTGGGTGGGGGGATTATTTTCAGAGGCTTTGCGGGGGGCAGGCAAGAAAAGAAAACCTGGATGCATTCATGAGATCTTTTGCTTTAACCAGATTGCATTTTTTGTTTTAAAAAAAAAAGGTCTTAGTTGACAAATGTTGCCCTGCTCCTAGGACTTCAAATGATCTGTGCCCTGTAGAGAAATAGAGATTGCTCAGCATGTTTGGATTGGTGAAGCAAAACAGTTTTTTTAATGGCTGTTCTGTTAAATAACAGTTTCTGTGCTTATTTTTATATGAATTGTTAACAGATAGGCATGGTAAGTAAGGCCTGCTGTTCTTAGCAGGCCCTGACAACAGATTCCATAATGAACGGAAGGAAACTTTTCCTGTTTGTTCTGCAAGGACGCATGTCCTTAATGATATGCAAGAGCCACACGTAACATGAAGCAGTTCTTCTATGTCCAGGAGTCTTATTAGGCTTTTAACACTACATTAGAAATAACAATAGTAGTAATACAACAGTTTTATTTATAGGGTGTCCACACCTAGAGGCCTCTGGGTACCTAACTTCCCCCCACCCAAGCTAATACTGTTACTTAATCGAAAAGGAACATATGGCTCAATAAATTATTTGAAGGAGGGTGAAAATGAAACATCCCAGTGCAGTCACGGTCTCCGCCCTGACACACAAAAAGTACAGCACTGAAATATAGATCAAAACTGAAGCTTCAGCAAGAAAAGTGGCAAAGAGATGATTTGATTTTTATGGAGAGGGAAATCATTGCAGAGTCCTTAATGAAGCAGGGCCAACCCATCACCTCTGGATTTCGCCATGGCCAACCAGCACTTCCAGCACCACTGACGTTAGGTTATTGGAAGACAGATGGTCCCTTGAGGCCTTTTTGGCTTCTAGTCCATATGAAGCAGGCTGGTAGGTTCCCCTGTAACACTCATCACCTGTGCATGCACAAAATCCAAGCCTCTGAATCTCTCCTCCAGACTCACTTCTTCCCTGCGGCATTCCACATCTAATCTCCACTCCCACTCCTTGATTAAAGAGATCGTGGAAAAGCAGGCAAATGCCTGCAAACTCTCTTACCATTATAAGTCAAATGAATACAATCCCAAAGTCCCTGTCCTAAAAACAGCAAGCAAAAATGATCTCCTTGGGCTTTCCTGAACAGGTAAGTTAGAGCTCCAGCTCCTCTGTACCAGCTCTTAGCATGGGAGTCTTGCGCACATTTTAAACAGCCTATGAGAGAGAGCTCACTCCATTGTAATAAAGCAGTCAGCAACGTTGCACTTATTGGCTGCGTCCACATGTGGTGTGGCTGTTTGGACAAGTAGTGCACCTTGCGCTGCTGCTGCTTGTCCCCAGGGAAAGCCCATACCATGTGCAGTCTGGCACATGGCAAGTTACCTTGGGGGCGGTAGTGGAGGCTGGGGGCCTTACCTGGGGTCCTGGTGGCCTCCCAGGGCTGCAGCAGTGGCGATTCTGTTGCACAGAGCCTGGCTGGCAGCCACAGCACAGCTCCAGGTGGGCCGGCTCTGCTTTTTAAGCTGGCTGTGCATGCACTGCTCTGCTTTTTTTCTCCATGAGTTTTCTCCGTGGGTCAATGCCCCCCCCGCCTGTACTGCCCCCTTGCATTGTGGAGAACAACTGAACATGAGGTATGTGGCACCAGTGTCTGCGGTGCCATATACCGCACAGCCGCGCTTGTCTGGATGCGGCCATTGTGTGTTAAGACCATCGATACAGAGTTAGTGTAGAGAAGTGAAGGTGCTGTGAGCTTGCACCTAACTTACTGCAGGATAATTTCCCGTGTAGGCAAACCCTTAGTGGCCTTCCCATACATTTGCCACATTG